CACGTCCCTGAAAAAAGAGTGCTTTTGTCTTTTCAATATTAATAATAAGATGATTTACCGCGAACCAATTTTCTACTTGATGCATAGAAACTATATCTGCTTTCTAATGTGTATCTGTGCCAAAGTTTAATGTTTACAATCTGGATTATGGAACTGTATACTTACTTACTCATGGAGCTGAGCCCTTCTGGAGGAGCTGCCAATTCTGCAGCTACTCAAGAATTTCCCCGCATTCTGTGGAACCCAAAGGTTCATTACCGTGTTCACAAGAGCCCTCCACTGGTCCCTATCCTGAGCCAGATCTATCCAATCCATACCATCCCATCGTATCTCTCTAATATTGTCTAATTGTCTAATAAAATTGTCTAATATTCTAATATTGTCCACCCGCCTACCCCTTGGTCTTCCCTGTGGTCTCTTTCCTTTGGGGTTTCTCACCAATATCCTATACGCATTCCTTATCTCCCCCATTTGTGCTACATGACCTGCCTACCTCATCCTCCTTGACTTGAATGGTAGCAAGCATTACCTGAGTTCAGTCTCTCCTTAATTTCTTCCTGAATCAGGTTTCGATCTGTTATCGTTGTTCCCAAATATCTGAACTGTGCCACATTTTCAAAACATCTGTTTCCTATCTGTATGTCATGATTTGGCCCTACATTTTGGTGACAAGACAGTAACATATACTTAGTTTTCCCAGTGTTCACTTCTAGACCAACCTCTTTACTTGCGTCATTAAAGTTTGTGTGTTTTTTTTTATGGTATTATCACCCAGTAGATTCACATCATCGGTATAGACCAACAGCTGATGTGTCCCATTTAATTTCAGTCCCACCTGGTTTCCCTGGACCTTCCTAATGGCATATTCTAAAGCAAAGTTGAAAAGGATTGGTGATAAAGCATCTCCTTGTTTTAGACCATTCTTGGTTGGAAATTTATCAGACAGATGTTTACCTACACGGACTTTACTATATGTTTCGTTTAAACACAATTTAATCAACCTAACTAGTTTCATGGGTATCCCAAACTCTATTAGAATATTGTACAATACTTTCCTCCTAACTGAATCAGGCTTTCTTGAAGTCTATGAATAGCTGATGTAGTTCATTGAGGGGCTATGCTTCAAGCTGGAAGGTTGTGGTTTCAAGTCCCGATGAGGTCACTGGATTTTTTTCAATTGACCTAATCCTTCCAGCCACACTATGGCCCTGGGGTTGACTCAGCCTCTAACAGAAATGAGTACCAGGACTTAATTAAATAATTTTTCTGGGGAGTAAAGCGCGGCAGACGCGTAAGGCTGACAACTTTACCGCCATCTTTGAGCTGATTGTCTAGATAATGTGGTACCCTCAACGTTTCACAACCCTATGGGCCTTCACAGCATGTTGCAGGGATAGCTTTACTTTTACTTTTTTACTGTCTCATCGTACCCATATTTTTTCTCCGATATCTGATGAATGCAAAAGATCTGATCTGTAGTTGATCTGTTATGTCGAAACCCACACTGATGATCCCCAATAATTTCATCTATATATGGACTTAACCTTGAAGGAAGAATATTGAACAAAATTTTATATGAAGTTGATAGCAGTGATATCTCCCGATAATTACTAGTCAGTTTTATCACCCTTCTTGTGAACTGGTACAATAATAGACTCCTTCCACTGATCAGGCAATTTTTCCTTATGCCAAATAGAAGTAATTAGATTGTGGATCTTAGAACGTAATATTTCGCCTCGTGCTTGAATAAGTACTGCCGGAATTTCATCACTATCTGGCGATTTATACCGTTTCAATTTTGCAATAGCACTTTCAACCACAAAAGGGCTAGGATCAGGTATTAACAGCTCTGCTGTATGGATTTCTGTCTGCCTAACATCACTGACCCTATGTACATTCAGTAACTGAGAGAAGTAGTTCTTCCACCTATTCAAAATGTTGTGGGAATCTGCAAGTAGATCACCATTCTCATCCTTCACTAAGTTACTGCTAGGCTGGGAAACCCTCTTAAAGTCATTTATTCCTCTATTCAGGTCTCTAATGTTCTTGTTCTTACTGTTCATTGCAAGCTCATCAATTTTGTCTTTCAGATATTCCCTCTTTTTGTTCCTGAAATGCCTGCTGGTTTCACGTCTTATATTGTTCAGATTATCCCCATTTAACTTGCTTAGATCCTGTAATCATTGCAATTTGAGCATCCTTCATCAAACCATGGCTTATGCTTCTTCAGTTCATAATAACCTACACCCTCTTTGGCAGACATTTTTATATTCTCTCTAATAGTATCCCAAGCTTTATTAACATTTACCTCAGTTTCCAAGTTTTCCAAAGCCGTGAACCTATTTGAGATTTCGACACAATTCTGCTCTTTACCCTCTACTTCATTTAATTTCTTGAGATTGAACCTCTCCATATGAACTCTGTGTGTTGTTTGTTTGCTCACTGCCAGTCTTTCCCTAACCTTCGCCACCACCAAGTAGTGGTCAGTATCACAATCTGTTGCCCTGAATGATCAGATATCAAGTATACTTGAGTGCCGTCTCCTGTCTATCAAAATATGGTCTATTTGATTGTGTATCTTCCCATCAGGAGATGTCCAAGTAAATTTATGGATGTTACGATGTGGGAACATTGTACTTTTGACAGTAAGATTTTTTGATATGCAAAGTTTACAATTCTAATTCCATTATCATTACTAATTTCATGCACACTCTTATTCCCAATTGTTGCTTTGAAAATGTCTTCCTTCCCTACTTTGGCATTGAAATCTCCTAACAAAATTTTCATAGAGTATTTCGGGAATTTATCAAATGTTCTAATTCTTCATAGAATCTATCCTTTATGTCATCAATTTTATCTTCTGTTGGCGCATGAACATTCATAACAATGATATCACACCAGCGACCTTTTAGTATTATATATGATATCCTATCACTAACAAACTCTACCCTCTTAACTGCTGATATGATTCTCTTATGTGCGAAAAATTCTGTACCTAATTCATGATTTTCATTCCCCTTTCCATAGAAAAATGTATAGGCTCCTGCTGGTGTGATGCCACCTCCATCCCATCTGACCTTCTGTACTCCTGCTAAATCTAACATATTTTAAGATTTCTTCCACCACTGCCCTGAGCGAACCTGCCCTATACAAACTTTGAACATTCCAAGTGCCAAATCTCATATCCATTTTCATTAGCTTAGGTCGTTTATCCAAGGAATCCGTCCAGGTCTGAGGATTTGTGTTCATTTTCGTAACATAATCATTTTTTGCGGTGAGGAGTTGTTAGCACCAAGCTGGAGGACCACCCCTTGTCGGCTGTCCGCGACTGCTTATTCAATATATTCGCAGCTTCCCTCCAAAACTGGAGGGCGTCTCCTTCATCCGCAAACTGAGGACGCGCCATGCCGTATTGACAGGGACCCACCTAACATGGATGGAACTGTATAAGTCGATAAAATCTTATTACGTTGCTACTGTTTTTTGATGTCCATGTTTACGTGGATTCGTTTATTAACTATTTTAATTGTTGAAAATTAAGTAGAAAATGTTTCTGATTGGATCTGCATTCCTACAGTTGTTTATTAACAGTTCATATCTGCAATTTATGTCAGCCTAAGATCATGTAGTTTACATAATCCTTAAGCTGAATCAAATTTTGTTGTCCTGCATGACAGACGAATTTAATAACTGGGTATTTTCTTTCGAAAGCCCACACATTTTATTGTCACAGATACCTTGATGCAATTTGAGGCCGATATTTAGTAACCAAGATAAATGGTACATAATTTATATAGCGAAATCGTATCAACTGCAGACCAGACAACATTAATCTGTTGTGATCCACTCTGAGGTACTATCCCCACACTTGTTAAAGTGGGATACGATAAATTGCATTCTTGATTTTCAGGTAGGATATCTTCAGAGTATGAGTTGAAACCATTCGGAGATCTAGATTTATCTCAATTATAATTCAAAATAAGCTTCACAACCTTCATCGGAAAAACAGCAGACAATGGTTATAATAGGCCGTGCTATATAAGTAATCCGTTGCTTAAACCTACCAAAACAATCTTCGTTGATAGGCAACAGCTAAAACGTTTCCAATAGGACATCCATTAGTAGTTAAAATCAAATCAAACAGCCAGACAGACGTCCATTCCTACGAAATAGATGTGCTTTTATGACCCTGACGTAAGATCAGATCAGAATTGAGTCCTATGCAGTCAAAGGAGGGTTCGGCTGAAGATGTATTGTGAGTTATTGTAATTTAATGTGATTATGAATTATTGTACAAGGATTGATCAGTAAATCCAATTACAAATCCAAAAGACACCCTCGAACTCAGAAATGTATGTTTAATCATTTAAAAGGGGCACTTAGGCATGAATTGAATCTCTGGTAGCGCTTACAAAACATTCTCTCCGTTCTCTCCCGTGCTATCTGCTGGCTTCAGTGAAGTGAAAAACAAACCAATAATAATAAATATAACGGCATTAAACACGTTCCAAATAATAACACTTATAATAATAATAATAATGACAGTAATAACTGTTACTTAAAGAGCATAGGTCTCCTCTTGATAAGCATGGTGACCACTGATCGCCACTGATTGTGACGTCACGGACTAAACTTGTTGCCAAGTGGTCCTGGGGTTGAGGCTATCAATGCATATTGAAGCTGGAACGAATACAGAGGAGTGTAGTGTCAAAAGTGATGTGTTTAATAACTAAAAAAATAACGTGACTGAAACCCTTGCGGTTGTAGGATTCAGCTTAGGAATTCTTTAGTTTGAGGTCGGAAAATGACTGAAACTATATTTAAAGGTATGATTTTATTACTACCATATAAGCTACATAGACATCAGTAGGTTAGTTAGAGACGACATTCAAACATTGAGATGCATCTTACGTTCATAAATTGACATGTAATAATTACACAATACCCTTTTCATAAGTATGGGTAAAATGTGCAGACCAATAAAATTGCCGGCCTTAAGTTCAAAGATGTTTTGCCTTTCGTTGCTTGTAGCTTTCAATAATAATAATAATAATATTAAAAATAAAACTTTTCTATTCAACCTAGAAGTTAAAATTGCAGTTAGTACAACATCCTGGGAGTACTGGATTCAAAATCAGTTGTGAATAATGTAAATATGGAAATAAGTGGACGTAATATATATTATAGGAGAGTAGACAATGAAGGTAATTGCTAGAATTAGTACCATATTTTGTGCATTGAAAGGAAAGGCTGAGGCCCACATTGATATTTGACCATAAAAATAAAACGCACATCTGCTCATGGGAAGGGTCACCTTATTAAATTTTCCCTCAAGATTTAAATAAGGACAATTTATTGGTATTTCTGGCAAATGACTGGAAGAGTTCATAGCTTCTGATCAAAGAAAATCTAACCAAAATCAAGCCAAAAATGTGACGTGGACCTAATGTAGTATGATTTATATGTATAATATTGTTCATTATTTCTACAAACCTTTCAACTCTCAAGCCTCCAAACATCAGATGGGAGGAGAATGCTTAGGAATTCCTGTGTCACATTTAGGAGGTCTGTTTACTGTGTAGTTATGCTCTGTTGAAATATTTTAGGAATCAGCACACAATAACAGTTGTCCTTTATAACCCATCCTTATTGAACTACAGTAGAACACTGGAATATGATAATTAAGTAAGTCATAGCTTTTGTTGAGTGTAGCTACAGTATGGAGATCAGTTATATTAGGTTGTAGTAGTAATAAGTAAAAACCGTTTTTGATAACACATTTGTTTCATTAGGTCTAATAGCAATAAGTAACTGTTGTATGAAATGTGTATTTCTACCACTTCAGGCTTTTAACAGTGAAGTGACAGTTTTTTCTTTCTTTGTTAATCTGCTGGGTGTTTGGCATTTGTACTAAACTTTGTGGAACACAGTGGTGCTCATGGAGTTCCCTTTTATTTTCTGCCAGTATTCTATATTATTTTAATTATATTCACATAATGTGTTGAGTATCCTCTGTATATTCAGTACCTCAGATTTTCAAGATATTTTAGGCCAATACCTTAAACATTTGCTGTTTTCATAGTATTATAGGTTATGTCAACTTTCATGTAAAACTGAATATGTTGGTCTGTAGGCCATGACTTCTATCTTCCCAGCCAGCGTTATTTCAGGTAATCACACTAACATTGTTGCTATATGCATGCACTTTGTTCAAAAAGTATGTTATTTTAAACCGTAAGTATAAACACAGAATACAACATGTAAGTTTTGAGGTTTTCACGGTGATGACTATGAAGAAAGTTGTCTTCTGGGATCTGGCACCATGTATTCTTGGTTTTAACCGACGTTTCGGAGCTACAGCTATCTGTATTCGCACGCAACTCAACTACCCTGAAGATGGAGGCGATATGTTCCTCCGAAACATCGGTTAAAACCAAGAATACACGGCGCCAGATCCCAGAAGACGACTTTCTTCAGAATACAACACATTATCATTGTAACTTCCTGAAATAAGGCATTGTTAGTGTTTAGTAACACCAACATAACTAATTAAACTTGCATAAGACCACTAAGCTGCCCCTCAGTTTGGGATATGTGATCTGTAATTAGCCAGAACTCAAATGAATCCAACTTATACATAGTAACTGGTCACTGTATGGTGAAATTATTTAAAAAATACAAAATATCTTGTCATTATTATTACTTTGGTTCTCTTATTCTGTCATAAATGTTAATATTTAGATTCAACAAATGTTGTAAGCTAATATCTGCAGTTGTAAAGCTGCTAGAACATGAAGCAGACCACTCAGCTCTATCTAGTGCCAAGCTTAAGGATATATGTAGAGCTGTAACTTCACTTCCTGATACGTCTCAATGGACAACTTTACCTTTACTTTACCTATGCTTGCTAAATGCACTGCCCATCTCCATTTTTTTTGTACAGTGTAGTTGTTATATACAGTTACTTAAGAAAGAAAATTGTTGTTACTCTTTACAGACAAACTGTGCATTTCTTTGTCTTTATTTTGTCCCCTCTTTTCTACCCAGTTTATTTCCCGTCTGTCTTATTTATTCATTTGTTCTTTCTTCCTTCCTCTCTTATTTTTGTGCTAAACCTTTATGTTGTCCTTGTTCTTCCATTCTTTTATTCTTCTACTGCCTCTATTTCCTCCCTTCCTTTCTCCCATATCTATTACTTATCTCTATTTGTATGTTGTACAGTCCTTATTCTCCCTGTATCCTAGAAATGGCAGAGGATAGTTTAAAATTTTCCTGTGTGCTGGGAAGCAAACATTGAGTTTTCCCCAAGCATAAATTGAACTGGCTGTTGTCTGTATGTTTCAGTTATCCTTTTGTAAATAAGTATGATTGGATTTCTCAGTTGAGCTATATTGTTCTTTACTCTAGCTCATAGTGTGTGCAAGTGGCTACTAAATTTCTGCAGTCATGGTGATATGAATGGAGAATATAATTTATAAGTTTTCATTTGAATTGTCTCCTTTTATGTGCACTCCGTGGTTGTATCCAAAATGGAGGAGGTAGCCTCAGGGAATAAATGCATACCACTGGATTATGTACTCAGAAGCGGTCTTTATTTACTTATCCTGTGAACAAGTACAAAGAAAGAATATCTGTATAGTTGTTGCATATACCATTAATTAATACAATGCATGCAGTATATCTCTTATAATAATTTAACTGTTGATCATGATCTTTATTATCTTTATTATCAAAGTATCCATCAATAATGCAACAATTTAAAAGATGTTTTACACTAAAAATGTATTTCAGTACTTTTTGATGTTAAAATCATTACATGTCAATAGGACATTAAAAGCATATTCTCTACATTAAAAGTGATTATCCAGTTTTCTAAAATGTCTTTAGTCATATATTTCTTCCAGTTTTACGACATGTTTCGGCCATATGGGCCATCATCAGGTAATTTATTTTCTTTTGGGGAGACCACTGCAGTGTATACTTGTATGTACCACTAGTGCAGTCTACCTGTGTACATTTGTTCATAAAGTTGAGATATATTGTAATTGTTCTCTTTTTCAGCACCAAAAGCAAAAAGATCTCCGAGTGCGGATGATGATGAGGTGAGAATTCTATTCATGTTTTAGTAAGTAATATGTATGAGACACATCAGGTTTGTTGTTTTGCTATTGTTTTGCGCGTATATTTATTTTTTTTAATCGATTTAATCTGTGAAGTTTAAGTAAGAAGATTGCCTTTAATTTAAAACAAAAGTCATCTTTATATTTTCTTTTATGTTAATATTTCTCACAGTATGGGACTTAAATGAGGGGCACACAGTAGTGTAGTTGGTTGAGGCACTATGCTACAAGCCGGAAGGTCACGGGTTCAAGCCCCAATGAGGTCATTGGATTTTTTCAATTGACCTAATCCTTCCATCCGCACTGTGGCCCTGGGGTCGACTCAGCCTCTAACAGAAATGAGTACCAGGAATAATCTTGGAATATTCTTGGGGATAAAGGGCGGCTGGCACGTAGGGCTGACAACCTCACCGTCATCTGTAAGGCAGTCATCTAGAAAATGTGGGAACCTCAACATCTCACAACCCTATGGTCCTCCACGGCCTGTTGCAGGGATACCTTTACTTTACTTACTTTACTTTATGGGACCTAATTGAAGACAGGTTGTGACAGTTATGCAAGACTATTATTTTTGTCAAATATCTCCATTTGATGTCTTTGTAAATGTTACCATATCATGAGAGTGAATGTGAGTGAAGACAGGTGATTACACAGAGAGAAATTGTACCTTTTAATTAATGTTATGGATAGCAAAATCACAATTCTTCCCTGAATGTAATTGCTTAGACATTTGCATATATTTGTTTTTAATATGCCAAGAAAAAATTAATACATCATTCATAATTATTAATGCCACATAATGATTATCATTTTAACTATGCTATTAGTGCAGGTATGTTTGCTATAGGTGAACATAGAATTTTCACAGGGATGTTATAAATTAAGAGAAGTTCTTCATTTAAGACATACGTACTATGTCGTCAAGCCTGTGAGCCCCAGGCAATTTTAGAGACTTTTTTTTTTCAGTTGAGTAGAACAGATTTCTGCTGTTTTGATATGATATTGTGACACATTATAAGAAAGCATGAAATGTTTTATGCATTTGGCACAGCCTTATGAATACATACTGTGTATGTATCTGTGCGAGGAGTCCACCCATCACTAGTCTTTACAGTAGGGGACAAAACTGTGTGCTGCAGAAGCTGTTCATCAACAGACACCCTGTTCATGCAGCCAGTTTGGTCCATCACAGTCAACTGACTTAAGGCAACATCTGACACCATCTGAATCTTGTCAATAAGATTGCAGAATTTTGTCATGGATCTGTTAGCCTGCTGATAGTGATGCAGTGGATATCTCAACCAAGGCTCAATGTGTTATCTATCAACCAAACTCACCATTGTTCTCAAAATAAAATAGAATGAAAATATTTCACCCAACATATGTATGTATGTAAGGGGTGGCCCATAAAAACCAGCCCCCACACTGCGACCTTCAGTGATCTATTGTGCTTCCCCTTGGATTAGCCATTTATTAATCCTACACTTTTAATAAAGTGTAGGACCCTGCTTATGGGGGCATCATAAAAGTCACTTGGTTCCATAAAAAACTGACCGAAGTGACAAAATCTTAAATAAGGTATGGCCTCACAATCACGCAGGATGTGTGTGATGGATTTGTTTTCTTGTAGGCACCTTTCACAAGTTGGGTTATCTGTCAGTCCCAACTTGAAAAGTTGTCCTTTCAGGTGGCAATGTCCAGTAAGTAATCCTACCATCCATCTTAATTGATCCCTGTTTAATCTCAACAGATCCTTCGTTCTTCTGGCAGAGGGTCCTGCTATAAAACCCTTGCCTGTCAGAGTCCAATTATGGATTCCCAATATTTTTTATGATTTCTATCAGCCCAGTCCCTGATCGCTTTTGTGGCAACTCCAATTGAGGTGCTGCAAGCTGGTTCAGGTCCTATGAACGGCTGTTCAGATCCATTTCTTGCCAGTTGATCTGCAGTTCACCCAACATAACTAATACTCACAGCCCTAGGTATGAAAACAGTTCTGATCACCATTCAAGGTAATGGAATGTATCTGAGAGCTGTACAGACTATGTATTCTTGTTGCTGGACCAGTGATGATCTCCAAGTCCTCTTGTAAAAGAACCAGGAAGATGCTATACTCTGCTGAGGATTTGTGGGTATTGAAGTTGGAAATTGCATGCCTAATTTTGTCATGGGACGCTACCAGTCTAGCCAACATCCATTCCGATTTCTCCCAGCCTAGGTGAAAGAAGACCCCTGAGTATTGATTTATAACTTCAGAGCCATGACAATGAGTTGCCAGCATAAGCTTTAATACCTCCTCATCTAAGAATGTGTATCCCCAAGGAAGAAGGAAAAGTGAACCAAATCTGAGTCTAGATCTTTCATGAGGATTTTCTGCGGTTTCCTTGCTCTTGAAATGTCATTAACACCATGGCAGAAGATTTTTCAACTCTGTCGCTTAAAATGACTGAGGCCTTTTGTACCTCCTGTATGTCCTTACAGGATTCTAAATCTGAAGGTGCTCGGATGTTCTTTGCCTTATTCATTTGTTTCCTTGTAGAGCCTCCCTAACTGTGAGCTCCAGTACGGAACCTTCCCTTTACCCCGTGTTGTCCGCAGTTCACAGTTATTCTCATGGGAAGAGATAGTGGCCTGCTGCAAGAGCTGTTCGTCTGTTCCTCTGTTCTCTTTAGTACCATTGTGACGCAGAACTCCACTGAGCTCACCTTGCAGTTTGTCTTCTGTTGTTCACCTACAAAGCTGAAGAGAATGTGCCCATGATTCGATAATGAAAGTTCTGGCAGTACCTTCCATCCATTAACCTCATTCACCAGTTTCCTGAAATGAAGAATAAGGCCTCTCAGTGAGGAAGGCCAGCTCGTCTCCTTGATTCATTATCTCAGAATCTGTAGTTTATAGGTACTCCAACAATGCCCTCATCCTCGGGCAAAAAGCCTCAGCCCAACTGAGAATGCTTTTTTACCTTATGGCAGAGACAGAGTCCATTCTCTGAAACATTTCAGATAAAAACAGGACAATGGATAATGTCCAAGAAGTCAATAATTGTTCCAAAATAATCTTCCACTCAGTGTATAAGTGAATGCTTTACTGTGATGCAGATTCATCTGTAGGAAGGAAAGTTCCATTCACAGGTAACCAAGAAAGAGCTCACATCCTCCTCCTCCAAGATGCCTCCAGATGGCATGAACACCTCCTTGCTGCTTGTTATAAGGCCTGATGTTCTGAGCTTTAAGAACCTCGACTGAGGCATCATTCACAACTAAAACTAGCTAGACCCCTTTCCACGAGCTGAACTGCAGCCACAGACCATCTTAAACCAGTCCTCAGTCCTTAGTCCTTAATCTTTCCTTTGTAATCTCCTGAAAATTGTGGCTGTCTCCATTAGTGATCCTAGGATCCATTCATCATTTTTTTATGATTTTACAGGGGAGTGAGTCTGCATAACTTCCAGGCTGGCTCTCTCCTGTTGTATGAACGTTTGAAAGATCCCTGAGAGTCATTCATTGTTTCATTCATCCACATATGACACATACAAGAAAGCAGAAACCTACGCATTGGGAAGCCTATCATTCTGTCTTCCCACACTGTCCATCTGCAATGGACACCTTCAGTGGACTGTCAGCCATCTGATTGTAGCTGGTAGACTATGACTAAAAGCCTAGGTTTATCCTCCTCCTGATCTACTGACAATGGTGTATCACTCCAGCCATCCTCTATCATTTACCAACAGGGACAGCAGAGCCCTTACCACTGGTTCTTCCTGGATTCTCATCAATGCATCCAGCCAAGCCCTCAGCGCTACTGCTTCTGTGGATCAGTCCATTCTGCTTGATGATAAGGTTACTCACTTCCATTGTAAGGCTGCTTTCACCATCACCCTCGGTGGTCTCCTTGTCTGAGTCTCTGAGAAATTTTGACTACTACTGCATGACAGCAGAAGATCCAGCAGTTGATCCCTGTGATGTGGATAGAGAGGGCCAGAGCCCTCTGTAGAGTAGTCCCTGAATACATCTTGTCCAGCCCAAGTGTAGCCAGAGCCAAAGAATTGCTGAAAATCTTCAGGGGACCACTACAGTAGTCCTTCTCAGCAGTTGTTCATCATCCTTATCCATGGGTCATCCCACAAGTAGCTCGGGTACTTTGCACAGAGCCCCTGATACAGGGGAAAGGCTAGGTACAATGGGAAGTTGCCTTTTTTCCCATTCATGACACTGCTCCCTCAGTGTCTTACAGGTCTTGGCATGGTAGCTCACATCTTAATCACCAGCACCCGTGGTCAGCCAGGTTGGCCTCTTTTTTTCCAGATCCTGTCACTTGGAGGCAGGTGGGGTGACTTGGCCCGTGAAGTGCACGTTAGATCTAGGCAAGTGGCATAAGATCTGGCACAAATAGTAAACTGTAGTGTGTGGATTTTGGCAGTTCTGTTTTCTTGTCTTGGGGAAATGAAAACTGTGTATTCACGGAAATGCATTTGTGTAGATATGTCATGAGGAACATGTTTTAGAACAGTGGGTAATATTTCTGAAATATGTTTTTTATTTTAGATGCCCTCAACAGTATCAAAACGTCCTCGCACTGCTGAAGACTTCTACCTGTTCTGCAAATGTATTTTGGAATATGAAAATTACGAGCAAGAGGTGTGCATTTAATTCTAATATTTTTTATTCTTATTTTATGAGTTTTACAACTATATTGGAATGTTCTCAAGATGCTCTTCACTATTAATCTGCTTGTTTTATGTGCTTTTCTTTCTGTATCGTATCATTACAGCTTATTTATTCAGGATGGATTTCAGTATTGTCTGTCCCAAATCAGACCCATGTTTGATTCATGGGAAAAGGTAAGCAGCTCTTCACAACATGCGGGCCACCAGTTCAAGATATTGTTAGGAAAAGAGGCTGGATAATGTGAATCTGGGGATGAGAAATACTCTCAGTGCTTCTTCTGGTAATCTAACCTAGGCTATCTAATTTACTTTTCTGTTGCAACGGTTGGTAGGATTTTATTTTATTTTACTGTATTAAAGTAAGTTGGAGTAGCAGTAAAAGCAAATAATTATGATGTTTCAACCTTCACTGACTTCTATCATACTTTAAATGCAATGCAGCCAGCCAAAATTATTTGTTCGGAAATAAGTATGTTTAGCTTATGCGAGAGTAAAGGTTACAAATGTCTGTATCTTGGATTGCATCTATACACACATGAAATGATTGCTTCTTTTTAGCTTTACCAGTGCTCACATGCTGGTTGCTGTTTAAATGATGACCCAGCTGTCTAATGCATGTTTTCTACCTATATTTGTAATGGGTTGTGTGTGCAAACAGGGCATATAAATACAGGGTGTCCAGATGAAAGCTATCCAAAATAAAATCATTATATCTCAGAAAGCTTTTATTATACACATTTATGGGTTACACCATTACAAAGGGAAACTATCAAAGTTTTTTTCTGAGTATATAATCTTTTTCAGTAAATTTCAACCTGTGCTCCCTTGGTGGCAATCCAGCAAGTTTGGTGTTACCGCAGCCACAGCATCCCTTATTCAGGCTTTTAGGTGTTGCAGGTCATTGATCTTAACCTGGTAGACAATGTTCTTCACATAACCCCACAAGGAAAATTCAGTTGGGTTAAATCTGGCGACCTAGGAGGCCAAGCGATTGATCCACATCTGCCGATCTATCTCCCAGCCATCACTCTGTCCAAATGATACCTAACATGGTGGCAGAAATGTGGCGGCGCATGCGCGTAGGCCCGGCATGGAAAAAAGAAAACTTACAGGGGTTTCCTTTCTGATGACATAAACTGGATATGTGTATGACAATTACTTTCCAAGATATACATTTTATATTTTGGATACCTTCATCTGGACACCCATATTCTGTAGTAATTAAAGTGTGATGTTTGTGTGCTTCTTTGCAGAAGTGTATGTTACAAACACAGGCATGAGGACATGTCTGTCTACCCATGTATTTCACCCTACAATCTGCTAAACAGATTGGGTTGAAATCTGGTATTTGGAAGACTAAACTAAAAGCTATTTGACATGTTTAATTTTGGTTCATATCATTCCAATATAACTCAGCGCATGGAATTCAAATCACACTTTGACTTTCTCAAAAACGGCCCATTGTTGAGACTGTTGGTACACGACATAAAATATAAAAATTCATAAGATCTACAATTTTCATTTGTAACTTCTTTTATTTATTTAAGGAAATATGTGCGAAAATAATTCCTGAACGTTCATCATCATGGCTGTATTAAAATTCAATTTCTAGCAACACAGTTTTGTTTGCAGTGAATTAATATAAATTTAAAATTTAATTATTAAACTAGAACACACATTGTTATTCTTGTGCAAGGTAAGGATACATTTATGAGATTTGATGTTTTCATGTTACTGAAACTGTACATTGGGTTATGAAAGCTAGTAGTTTGGTAGGTGTTTATCAGGTAGTGACCACCTACTGGACAACATAGTGTTAAAACTTGCATCTGCAAGCTGTGCCTTACAGGTTGCTTTGCAGTGTACCGTGCAAAATGCGCACGTGATCAGTTTGTTGTACTTCTTAAGTATAGTTGAATGGAATGTTTGCATTTATAATGTGTATTAGTTTTTTAGCCATTATGTTAAGGTTCAATTAACCATAATATAATTGTTTTATTTACACAGGAACTATGTGACAAAGCAGGCAGCCCTCTTGGCAGTACGGGCAGTGTTGCAGATAGCATCAAGTCTGAATCTCCAGCTGGAAGTGTCTCTGAGGAGAGGAAGGGTTTGGAAACAGGTGTGTTTATAGCTCTAACTGTCTTATTGCATTCTCAATACAGAATGGAACTTGTTTTTATGCTTTGTTAGGATGGTTATTTCAATTCTGAAGGCGGGTATAGAAATTAATGTGATTAATTGGAGAAATAAGTGTTGTCATGCCATATTGAAATTTCTTTGTGTACTCAAGATGTGTGATTGAAGAGAAGTGCACCTTTGTGAAAAATTTTCTCTTAGTGGGGGGTGGATTCCAACTGGGATTCCAACTAGGAACGGCGGTCACTGATTGGCCTATTGTAGCATGCCCCGGGTGATTATGGTGATGGAGAATTTGGTGAATGAAGATTGTCAGGGGAAACTGAAGTACTCGGAGAAAACCCGCCCCAGTGCCACTTTCCCTACCACAAATCCCACTTTACCAGACCCAGGATCGAACCCAGCTACTAACCACTTGAGCTATGGCGTGGCTACACGTTCGTGAAAGTGTTTTCTGTGAAACTTTCCTGGGAAAGCTGTAATTTAATAAAGTGAACATACAGCTAATGCAGAATTTCTCAAACTTTGTGAAGCCACAGCCCCCTGAAATAACACACAATTTTATGTGGAACACCCCCCCTCCCCCAAGTCTGGTGGTCAACAAAACATGCATTTCTGCACATTGTTGCAGGTCCCTATCAGGCTACGAATTAGTGACAGCAGGGACCTAAATAGCTGTGTAACTTATAGCTATGAAACATTTCTGTATGGTTATGAAATATTGAACAGAATGTTTCACAGATTGCAACTACATTGCAGCTACATTTTCCAGCAGTGTCAATATTAAATCATATTGATAAACTGTGTTTCTGTAATTGTGTGTGGATGCAACTGTATGTTAAGTATTTCATGAGAACTCTGCCACCCCCTGCATAGCCAACATTTTGAGAAACCATAAGTTAAGGTGTAGTCGTGCTTGTTTCATCTTCAAAAGTTTCAAAAACTTATTTTAGCTTCTGTCCATATTTCATTCCTTTTATTATCTGTCATGTTATGAAGTTATTCAGAACATGTTGTTGAAACACTGTTGTCATGATTGTGCCAGTCATCTGGTTGATACTGGAACAAGTACTTAATTTTTCCTAATTTAGTTTGGAAATTATAAAGATTCTTTTGCACACGTATTATACTGGTATTAGCTGCATTTGATACTTCTGCAGTCATATAGTAGTCATTTAATGCCAGAAAATCTTGGAGATGCTCTGGGTTTTTCAGGTGAAATTAAGTTATCATGTTATGAGAAAACTGATTGATTTATTGGTAAATGTTGTTTAAATGCCAGAAGGTATTGGGTTTATCATCATCCTGCTATTATAGTGGTGTAAGGAACTCAGTAACTATGGCCATTGTACGTGTGTATATGTGGAATTTTCAATTTATTATGTAATTTGTATCATCTTGTTGGTTGTGGGAGCATCTTATATGTGCAGAGATCAGAATTATGGAATTAGTTCATTTGTTTATCTGTACGTTGTCAGCTGCTTTAGTTACGTAACACTGAATGAGAAATTGCATCTAGATTGTGGTCTTCAGGGATGTGACACTGTGTAGTTTGGTGGGTAGGTATCAATGTTTAGAGAAGTCTTCTGCCAGCTTCTTCATTTTACCTTGAAGATGGAGGCTACATATTCCTCAGAATGAAGGTACCTATGTGTCGAGCTATATGACATCACATCCAAGAAAACCATAATCACGATACTATCTGCTGTGAGAACTTCAGATCTCACATATATAACATGATTGTTATGAATGTTAAATTTGAAAGGCTGTTGAAGGAATTAGTTGTAGCCTGTTTTAAGGTATGATCCCAGCATTTGTGTTGGGCTGAGAAAAATTATGACAATTTTTGGTCAGGATATCTGGTCTTCTAGTAGCATAAATTCAAATTAAGAACTGGTATCTTATCAGTATGCTTCAGGAATGATAATGATTATAGAGCAATGCTTTTCAGAAACAGTTACCAGATGTATTAGGCAAAAGGGGTATCAGCTCCATATAAATACAGGCCCAGAGCACACATGCCAATAGTGTTCTTACAGTCTACTGTAACAGATTGTCTGTCGACAAAATATGATCTTAGCCAGTGTGCAGTAATTGAATGCCTCATGAGGAACAACTCAGCTGTAGGTATCTGCAAGCAGCTTCATCATACGTACAGAGATGCCTCCATGGATGCCAGTAGTATCTGAAGATAGTTGAATACTTAAGACACAAACGTGCTCTGGCATGAACAACTGTCAGCTGAACGCAGATAGCAGAATGTTCACATGCCTTTCAGAGAAGACTGAAGGGTGACGATTAGAGAAATAACAACACAGCTTGGGGAAGGATAGCATGTGGCAGAAGACTATAGTAACCTTGGATATTGGGAGGTTTGTTCTCTTTGAGTTTTCCTTTTATTTGTACATGAACATAAACAGACGAATGGATGTGTCATCACAGTTGTTTCAGCAACATTATGTTGAATGTAATGACATCCTCTTCAATATTATGGGTGGTGATAAGACCTGATTCCACCATTCCATCCCAGAATCCAAGCGGCAGATGATAGACTGGCATTGCATGACATTTCCTTAAGGGATGGCAAGAACATTATCCTCAGCTGGCAAGATTATTGAAACTGTCTTCTGTGATGTCAAGAGATGTTCACTTTGTCACCTAAAATAGAAACCATGTGTATGACTCCATGAGTCTAGATGCTCGAGGAACGGCAGGGTGCAGGTTGTGATAAGTGTTTAGTCAGAAGGTGGTCGTTCTTCAACATGAACAGTGCACATCCTGAAACGTGAAAAGGTCTTGAAGACCGAAATTTGGTTTCCAGGTAGGACGTACCAACTCAAAGACACTATAACAAATATATCAAATGACAATATATATATATATATATAATACTAAATGTGGAGGTAATAGGCCTCTGCCAATCAAACAATCAAAGTCGTACACACCAGGAGAAGAGTGAATCGACTGAACAGTTCAAGCTCCCACAACAGAATGGATCAGTCGCATTGGACCTCAGCGTTCCGGGACCAGGAAATGGAACAGTGGAAGGGGGAAGGTAGTAAAAGGGGGGGACACCCTCTGACACAGTGTTACAATCCTCACATTATGTGTCTGGCTTTGGTGGCCGTTGTAAAGAACCAGCTGGGATATGCTCCTTTACCTGTAAAGGTTCACTTGGACCACTTAGGATACACTGACTTTTGAAAGCTCATGTGTGAGGCCAACACTTCAAGGACAGTAACAGCAGCCCAGGAGGTTGTACGTATGAGTAGCTGGTCATGAGTTTTTGGACTGGACTTCAAACACAGGAAGATTTCTAGGCTTTTGCCACACATGAAGATATGTGTAGATTGTTCTGGTGATGTGTAAAGTTATAATACATGTTCATGCACTATGTTGAACAAGTGTGCACAGATTCTGGGCCCCAGGTTGCCATGACACTTAAAATTTTAATGTTAGCCCTTAGAATTTTCTTCCTGGTTCATTGTGGCTACTCCTTTTCTTTTTCCCTTTTATATATGTATTTCCTTCTGTCCTTCTGTATTACTTTCCAATCCCTTGCATTTGTCTGTCATATTCATCTCCCCCTTTTTTCCTCATCCTCCATGTTACATCACTGCTCTCATCCACATTCTTACATCCTTTCACTCCTTTATCTCCCTCCCTCCCTCCCTCCCTCCCTCCTATCTTTTCTCTTATATTTTGCCATCATCATTCACATCTCTGTAATCAGTGGCAGAAGATAGTTTGGGGTTTTTCCTATATCCTGTCAGTTGCACTTTGAATTTTCCTCATGCTTCACAGTTTGTGGGCATTTGTTATATACAGATCTTTCAGCTGTTCCTTTGTTAACAAAAATGAGCAAATTTCCCACTCAAGGTATTTTGTTTTTACTCTGGAGTTGGGCTGATCGGACTTAAGATTTGGAAAAGTTTGGGGTTTTTTCTGCGGTTTGGCAGAGTTGTGATTTTTGCTTCCTTCCAAGGCACCAGAAAGAGACCAAGGGGACTACTCTTGTACCCTCTGGATTCTTAGGTGACACTGGTATTTGGAATGATTACGTAGTTTGAAGTTCTGAGTGATCAACAGCAGTTCATATTTTGCAAGAATTACCATTCTGTGGAATGTTATCGTCAACTGTATTATATCAGGCTCCGTGGCCACTTCCAGGCAGTTGTGATAACACCCTGTTATATCCTGTCTTGTACCAAATGAAGTGTATGGATTGCCCACTAGAACATAGGGCAAACAGACTGAACATTTTATACTAGATATAAAGGTCACATACAGGCAATTAGGAATAATAATGGTAACTCAGGCTATTTGAACCACATACTAAACACAGGACACCCATATAGGAGTATAATTTATACAGTGAAAATCATAAAAATAAAGAAAAAGAGAAAATGTCTAAATACATTAGAAAGATACCTTATATATGAAATTAGTGAAAGCAGATTACACATGAATAATGCATTTTTGAAGTCTGTAACCCAATATTCAAAACCCTGCAAGAATTAAACACCAGATAGTGCCACATATATACTATAAAAGGTAGAATCAGTCCAGCTTTATCAAGCACTCTTATAAAGACACACAACACAAAAGGAAGGACTATCATCGCTGTAGGGTAAGTACATGAACAAGTAATCGTACAGAACATAACACATGTTATATACAAAAATACAAGCATGAGATGTTAATACATGATACAGATACACAAGTCCTTAGACAGGACCACATATCACTCACTCATGGAGCTGAACCCTTCTTGAGAAGCTGCCAATTGTGCAGCTACTCAAGAACTTCCCAGCATTTTATAGAACCCGAAGATTCATTATCGTGTTCACAAGAGCCCTCCACTGGTCCTTATCCCAAGCCAGATGAATCCAATCCATATAATCCCATCCTTTCTCTCCGAGATACATTTTAATGTTGTCCACCCATCTACGCCTTGGTCTTCCCAGTGGTCTCCTTTCCCGCCTATATCCTATATGCGTTTCTCCTCTCCTCCATTTGTGCTACATGCCCTGCCCATCTGATCCTCATTGACTTGGTCATTCTAATTATACTTGGAGAAGCTGACAAGTTATGAAGCTCCTCATTATGCACATATCAAATATTGGATTTACAAAACTGAAGCACAGCAATTTTCATCAACAATTTGAGATGCCTGATGATGACCAGTGTTGGTTGAAAAATGTAATGTGATATGGAGAAACTTTTAAATAAGTTTTATGAAGACATGTTGCATGTAAGATGGTTGATTCAGTGACATGAATACTTAGTAACATTGAAGCAGAACTCATAAATAACTCATCCAGTTGTTTAATCAGTTCAGCTGACCAAATTTTCATAATTTCCCTGTTTTCTATTTATCATCATGATACTCTTGAGGGTTTCCTCTGACTACATTTCGTTTTTTAAGGGTTAAGGTCAGAAAGATGAATCCTTATGAAGAAACATATTTGTTGGTGCTAATGGATGGATATTTAGAACTGTTTCTCTGCTCATGATTGTAACAAGAATTTATACTGGACTCTATTGAAATTTCATGTCAAATACAGTCATTCCATCTGTTAAATAAGTTTGTGTTTTATGGGATTGTTTTGTTATTTTACTGGCTGTGCATGTGTTAACATGGCATAGCTGTTAACACTGCAGTGGGCATGAACCTTAAAAGTGCTTTTACTTTAATATTGATTTTGATATTCACATACTGGCTCATTCACTAATTCATTCCTGTTGCTGTCATATGCCTATTATGAATATCCCAACATTCAATATATATATATGTATGTTCGTTTTTGCAGTGAATGTACAGTTATTATTTGAGTACCAGAAACTGCATATAAAATAGATTAATGAAGAGTCGATTAAATAGAATATTTTTCTATATGTTTCTTAAAAACTGTAACGTGTAAATCTAATGTGAGATGTCTATGTAATTGATACTCACGAGTCTTCGTTGAATCCACAAACTTGCGTAGAAAGTGTGGATTTCTGAAGTTTACTTAAAACTCAATATAAACTATGGCACTACATTATGATATTTATTATAAAATTTGTGGGGAACGTGGTAGCGTAGTTGGTTGAGGCACTATGCTACAAGCCGGATGGTTGCGGGTTCAAGTCCCAATGAGGTCCTTGGATTCTTTTTCAGTTGACCTAATCCTTCCAGCTGCACTATGGCCCTGGGGCCTACTCAACTTCTAACAGAAATGAGTACCAGGAATTAATTAAATTTTGCTGGGGAGTAAAGCGCGGCCGGTGCATAAGGCTAACAACCTTGCCGCCGTCTTTGAGCCGATTGTCTAGATAATGTGGGACCCTCAACATCTCACAACCCTATGGACCTTCATGGCCTGTTACAGGGATACCTTTACTTACTTTTATTATAAAATTTGATTCCCAGTTTAGTTTGATTATTGAGCCATTTGAAAGATTTTGAAACAAATGGTGTGCAGTGTGGCAGTTTTCATTGCCCTGTGTTATGGCTTGCTGTTGCAGTAACAATCTGAGTTCAAGTATTTCTTTAAAAAAAAAAAGCATGTTGACAGTTTGTGATGAGCAGACAATTTGATGAAAAATTTTACTAGCAAACAGTCTGCTGATGGGTTTCAGTTAACTGTGGAAGATGAAGTGCAGTGTATATTCATTTACCTGTTTTCACTGTCCAACTTTCAGCAAAGGCTGCTTCTTCACAGGATTGGAACTGGAATGGGATTCACTTTTCCGGTAAGAAGCAGTACAGGGTTGGAGAGGGAAATGGCAGTGGACATTAGATTAGCTGTAACAGTATATGGATGAAAGATTACATTGAAGCTTTTTCTTTGATAATGCATTTGATTATAGTTTTACTTAACATTACATGTACACGTGTAGTCACAGTTAGGAATATTGACATTATTAAGGATCTTGAAATTTATAATCATTACCAGCAGCTGTTTTATTGATTTATTGTAACATATGTAATCTTTCTGCCATGCATAACCTCGCATGTCTAGTATAAATTGCTGAATACTCCTGCATTTTTTATTTTAACACCTAATATTCACTTATTTTGTCTTCAGCATAGTGCATTGCATTGATCACACCAGAAGGATTTTTTTATAGTTTGTTACAGTGAATCTTTGGTTACAAGGCACAGCTGCAAGTAATTAGGATATTGAAAAAATAACCTATGTTCTCTGTCAGCACTTCAAGGCATCCAGGAGTTCCAGTTCGTGAATCTTCTGTATCTCCTATGTTTTCAGTTCTTCATTTGGTTTGCACATCTAGTTGGTGTAGTTTCTCAGTAGAATAACCTTTGCATGGGTTTGAATGTTTTCTGAATAGCCAGAAGTCCTTTTCTGTGAACTTGATAAACTCATGTAGGAATTACTGTTGCAGTGTGCCATATGTACCAGAAGCTGATGGTTCTAATTTTTATAAACAATTTTCTGTTGTATGTAATGAATCCTGAGATAAGGTACATTAATAATTACGGTTGTCAGTCTATGTTTTTAATGTCTATTTACATTTAATTGATTAGCAGATGGATTGTTAAACAGACTAGTTAATGGAAACATACTTCATCATGATATGTAGAAAACTGAGCTCATGAAGTACATCATGTAAATTGGAAGCTTGGAAATTTCATTCATTGTGTCTTCTAGTTAGGCCTCTAAAACTTTATTTTTACTGCTGAGTTAAATGAGTCTAGGATGCTGAACTTACCTGAGCTGACAAATTAGCGTGTAGCCATTGCTCTAATTCCATGAAATACTGTATAACGTACCTCATTTTTGAAAGATCCTTAAAGGACTTGTTATCTGCTTGTGAGCAGACTGTATACCTTAGGCATACAACACTTTTGTTATATTCACTTCAAGAATTTCATTGTGTTGTTTGTGCACCAGTAGCGCATGGTGTGACTGTTCATGAAGATGAATTATAAAATGTTTGGGAACAGATATTCACTATATATCAGTGACACATATTACAGAGACCATAAACTGCAGATGCTGACAGATGTTTCTGACCAGTTGGAAAAAAAGACTGCTTTGTATTAGAAGTGACTGAAACACTGTTTGCCATTACATTAAAATGGCAGACCTTCGGAACAGGATATGCATATATGCATCAAGTACAGTGTGAAATGTGGGAAGATGGCCTTTGAAAGCTACTAAATGCTGAAAACTGTATTTGAAAGAAAAAGAAATCTCTGAGCAACACTAGAACATTTTAGAGAATTGCTCAATTTAAAGAGAATTTAATTCTTATTGAGAGTATCCACAGCTTTCATATGCATGATAAAGGCACTGGAGCTGGGGTGCATTGTGATGGAACAAGGTGGAAATGTAGTTTCAGCCTTGGTCAGCATACCACAATATTCCAGGCAGAAGTGTATGCCATTAAGGCATGCACAGTTGAGAATTTAGATATACACTATAAAAACAGGAATATCTGTATTCTCTCAGATAGTCAAGCTGCAATTAAAGCACTTGGTGCACACCAAATCACTTCAAAACTGGTCTGGGACTGACACCAATCCCTCACACAACTGGCCAGACATAACATAGTTCAGCTGATATGGGCGCCAGCCCATCAAGGTATTGCTGGTAATGAAATCGCAGATCAGCTGCAAGAACAGGATCTAAACCAGCTTGAGGCATCTCAGTAGGAGAGTATTGCTGGGAATGAAGCCGCAGATCAGCTGTAGAACAGGATCTGAACATCCGTTCATAGGGCCTGAACCAGCTTGCGCATCTCAGTAGGAGAGTATTGCAGGGAATGAAATCGCAGATCATCTGGCAAGAACAGGATCTGAACATCTGAACCAGCTTGCGGCATCTCAGTAGGAGAGTATTGCTGGGTATGAGACCACAGATCAGCTGGCAAGGACAGGATCTGAACAGCTGTTCATAGGACCTGAACCAGCTTGCGGCATCTCAGTAGGAGAGTATTGCTGGGAATGAAACCGCAGAACAGCTGGCAAGACCAGGATCTGAACATCTGAACCAGATTGCGGCATCTCAGTAGGAGAGTACTGCTGGGAATGAAACCGCAGATCAGCTGGCAAGAACTGGATCTGAACCAGCTTGCAGCATCTCAGTAGGAGAGTATTGCTGGGAATGAGACCACAGATCAGCTGGCAAGGACAGGATCTGAACAGTTGTTCGTAGGACCTGAACCATCTTGCTGCATCTCAGTAGGAGAGTATTGCTGGGAATGAGACCACAGATCAGCTGGCAAGGACAGGATCTGAACCGGCTTGCGGCATCTTGGTAGGAGAGTATTGCAAGGAATTAAACCGCAGATCAGCTGCCAAGAACAGGATCTGAACATCTGAACCAGCTTGCGGCATCTCAGTAGGAGAGTACTGCTGGGAATGAAACCTCAGAACAGCTGGCAAGACCAGGAGCTGAACATCTGAACAGCTGTTCACAGGACCTGAACCAGCTTGTGGCATCTCAGTAGGAGAGTGTTGCTGGGAATGAAACCGCAGATCAGCTGGCAGGAACAGGATCTGAAAAACCATTCATAGGATCTGAACCGGCTTGCAGTATCTCAATTGGAGTTGCCAAGAAAGCGATCAGGGACTGGACAAATAGAAATCACAAAAAACACTGGGAACCCACAACTTAAACAGGCAAAAGGATTTACGTAGGTCGTACCGAAAGTCATGAGCAACTTTTTTTGCATGCAACCTGGGAACAGCAGACGAAAGAGAGTACGGTGGTAGGTGGAACCAGCTGTTGTGTTAACCTTGAGTGTCTGATGAAAAAAGGTAAAGTTGTCCCTGTGCTTAACTAATTAAGCGCTACGCCATGAAGACATATGGCAGAGTGTATGTATAGCTCCAAGTTTTCTTGACCTCAGCACTAGTTGGAGGTGAGTGGTCACCTTCACGCCCCGGCTGCTTTACCACCAGGGTAAGGGCCCCTGGTATCCATTGGATAGGAGGTTGGGTGGGCCTCAGAGCTGGTCTGAACAACATGAAGGAGTGAAAATTCTTGCTCTATCGGGACTCAAACTCCGACCCCTTGGTCATCAAGCCCATAGCCAGTCGCTATACTGACTGCACTATCCCAGCTCATTTATTCTCAACAAAACTGTACTTAATTATTTATTGCTCTTGAAATATGCTGTTGTCTTCTAAATTCTGCTTTATTTTACTTTTGTCAACCATGGATTTTATTTAGGAAATGAATAAGTTGAGGAGAATATTTAGACCAAAGAGGGATGAAGTGACAGGAGGTTGGAGAACACTGCATAATGAGGAGCTTCATAACTTGTACTCTTCTCCAAGTATAATTAGAATGATCAAGTCAAGGAGGATGAGGTGGGCTGGGTATGTAGCACAAATGGGGGAGACGAATGCATATAGGATATTGGTGGGAAAGCCAGAAGGAAGGAGACCACTGGTGAGACCAAGGCGTAGGTGCGAGGACAATATTACGATGGATCTTAGAGAGATAGGATGGGACGGTATGGATTAGATTGATCTGGCTCAGGATAGGGACCAGTGAAGGGCTCTTGTGAACATGGTAATAAACCTTTGGGTTCCATAAAATGCTGGGAAATTCTTGAGTAGCTGCAGATTTTGCTTCCCCTCAAGAAGGGCTTAGCTCCATAAGTAAGTAAGTAAATGAGTAAGTTCACATTAAACCTTTAATAATAACATCACAACTAAACACTTTGCTGCGCTTTCCATGAATGTGTTTAATTACAAAAGTCAGTAGTAAAGAATCACATTCATTGAGCTGAGGAAAGTAACAGTTTCATTTGGAACTGAAAGTGGAGTGCTGATTGCAACAATTGAAATGTTTGGTCAGTTGGCAATGCAAAGGTACCCCAATACAGAATGCTAAGATTTCAGGTGGTGGTTCATTTTATTTAAAGCACCAATAGCTGTAACACACACTGACTGCCTCTGTGGTCTAGTGGTCAGAGTTCCTGCCTACAGATCCAGAGGTCTGGGTTTCATTCCCGGCACTACCAGATTTTCTGAGACGCAGTGGGTCTGGAATGGAGTCTCCTCAGCCTCGTGAGGATAATTGAGGAGCTATTTCAAGGAAATAACGGCTCCGGTCTAGAAAACCGAAATTGATGGCCATGGGGATTTGTTTCGTTGACCATGTGATACTCTTTATCCACTAAAATTGGCACTGACTTTGCCAACAAACAGCGGTAGCTCAGTTGGTATAGTTCACTTACGGACTTAAACCACAGAGTTATAGCTGTAACACTAACAAACACAAGGACCGTTCTTCTCCATGTTAGCAGAAGTTCATTAAAGGAGTATAACTTCTGCCTCGTCTGGTCCCAAAGTAACAGCTGTTGAGTGATGGGATGGGTAGAGCACAAAAATGACCGACAAAGTTGTTATATGAGGCAAAAGAGTTCTTCAGGCAGAAACAATCCCACAGAAATTTGACATAGGCTTAATGGAGATTTATTGAGAATTTGTGTACTTTGGTATAGGACTTGTGTCTGAATTGAGCAACATTGAAAAATAAGCAGTTAATCTATTTGTCACGTACCACTTGCTTTTGGCAGCTTACAGAAGAAACCATTTTTTTTCCCTGGGGTGGAGTAAGACTGAGTCCACTAGTTATGTCAGTCACTAATTGGCCTATTATAGCAGCCCCAGATGATAGATGATGAATGTGGAGCAGTCGATGGAATGAGAATTGACAGGGGAAACCAAAGTACTTGGAGAAAACCTACCCCTTTGCCACTTTGTTCACCACAGATCCCACGTGACTTGACCTGAGCTCGAGCCCAGGCCGCCACTATGGGAAACCGGTGACTAACCACTGTTTTGGTATGGTCTAAATAAAGTGGGTTACGCAGCTGTAAACGTAGTTGTCAGTTGGAATGTCCCAGGCATAAAAAAAAGGACAATACTCCCTAACCCCACAAGAAGTATTGTCCTTTTTTTATGCAACGATTGAAAAAATTATGTGAATATTCCTTCATTTCAGTTGTCTCATAGTGAAAGTGAAGGTTGTGACATCCAGTCTGTAACATAAGAATGTCACTTGTGCAGAAACAAGTCTGAATTGCTTGTGCTGTCTCCTAAAAAGTATGGTTTAAGGACTTGATTTGCTTTTCCTGCCTGCAAGTAAATCTCTTGATATTAAATTATGTTCATTTCTAATTTACTCCCACATATTCTTAAAAAAAGAAAAAGCATGATAGTGTTTGTGGAGTCCATGTTGATTATGTGCTTTTGTGTGTGTGCGCGCGCACGTGTGCATGCATGTGAGATTTTTTCGGTTAAGATATGTGAAAACTCAGATTTTTCACTTTGACTTGCAAAGAGAGCTTATGCATATTAGAGGATTAATTTGTCAATACCTTTATTGCTTGCAGCTGAAGATATGTAGTCAAGAGAAAACAGGTCAAACATAATGTGCAGAATGATGGAAAGAGCTGGACAAGAGTATGAGCAAGTTTACTTGAGCTGCTTCTATTTCCCATTTGTTAATACCTGAAACCCCCCCCCCCCAAAAAAAAATTCATTTTTCTCCATTCTAGAACTGTATAATTTTGAATCGTTGAAACATATGACCAGTTTCATGTGACAAAATGTTGCACAGCATTTGTGAGGAAATCTACTGAAAAATTGTATTCAGTATATTTTTGTTGATAGTGAAAACAGTTTTTTCATGCTGTAGTTTAAGGCACATCAGCACATTTTGGTGATTTAATCTAATTTTTATTTGAAATTAATTTCTATATAGATTAAGAAATAACATAACATTTTATTACAGAGTATTTATTTACAGAGCAACTGAACTTTAGTTATATGTAAAGTGGGTGTTATCCATATCCATAGAAAATTAAATAAAAAAGCATGTAAATCATTCCACATGTGTAGTGTTTGAAGCATTTCACAAAAGTAGTGCAGCTAAACTTGCTTGTCTCTGTATCTTAACTGAATGAAAGTTATTAACAATTTGAGAAATGTTACAAAATTTACATAACATTTTGGAACTAATTAACTCCATGGGGGGATAAAGTCCTTCTTAAAAGAGTCTCACCATGAAGTTCCTTGGCATTTATGAAACCCACAATATCATTACTGTGTTCATGTTTTATCTCTAGCATGTTTTTACTTTTCTCTTTCATGTCTATACTCAATAAACACACTGTATATATTATAAAATTTCAAAATCTCATGGTGGCAGTTTACATTATATTCCTCTGGATTGTGACACTCCGTAGTCTTGCAGGCAGATCCCAGCCTCCAGAGGAACAGCATTATGAGATGATAATGACTGTATATATATGTGTATAACCTTTGAAGCTTTGTTTCAATATTTTAACACCAACATAAATCAAGACATTAGCATCATAGCTGTTGACTGTGTGTAGACTATGGATATAGTGAAACTTCACTGTAAAGCAGGAACCCTAAACTACATACACTTACAATTTTAATCTGTATTTGCAGTTAATATTAAAATCACATTCTTCTGGGATGTGACACCATGTAGTTTGGTGGGTAGATATAGGCTTTCTCCATATTCAGGAGAGTAGAGTCAGTGTGACACTCCAAATCATTGTTACCTGTCTACCATACTATGTAGTATCACATACACAAAGACTGTAATTTTTATTTTCTAACCAGTTCTTTAAACTCTATAATCATTTCTCAAATTTGGTATTGAAGCTGGATATTAGATTTTGTTGGATTTAAGGTTCTCACAGAAGTGACTATGAAGAGAATGATCATCTAAGTTGAAGTGCCATGTAGTTTAATATAAATCCACCAACATTTGAGAGGTACATCAGTGGACTTGTGCTGAAAGATGTGGTGTTATGACCCAGAAGATATCAGATATTTGATTTGTTCCCAGTCTTCATTCAGTAGATTAAATTGTAACATTTCTTAAGGAAACTAATACAATTTTCTATTCATGATTAAATAATTGAGGAAATTTCAATTGTGAACTATGTTTTGGTGATAGGTTTGTTAACCCAAGATAACAGCTTTCATTCAGAATATCCTTATCACTGCTTAAAAATGTTCTGCACAAAACCAGATGGGAAGAATATACAGCATATGGAAAATAAACGGACAAGGCGAAGCCCGACACAGAAAGTATAAGTGGCTTAAACTTGGCGGCGGTCAAGCATACAACCCTTCAAGTGACTAAACTGTCATTGTAGCCAAAGCTACCAGAAATAGGGGATAATCTGCTGTACTGAGCCTGGACTGACAAGAGGCCCTGTATATATTTTATATACATTTATTAACATGTTTAACACTTAAAATATAAATATCCTTTACAATATGACAAACGACTTACTACTGCAGACAGTGACTCTTGACAAAAAAAACAGACCTGTCCTCTTGTTAGAGAAGACTTAGTTGGCGCAGATAGCACAGAAGCTGAAGAATCTCTGCAGTGTTAAAACGTTTTTCCAGGAAACATCTAGTGAAGACTGAGAAGATTTAGTGTGTGCTAGTGATGGGCAAAGTGTGGAAATCAACGATGGCATTATAATTAAGTGTAATTACAAATTATGAGTTAAAATGGTCAATAAATCCAATATCCAATCCAAAATCGCATTGAGGGTCACTCTTAAGTTGTGGCAGTGTTTAGGATATTATTATAAATAATGTAATATGGTACTTAAGTTTCAGGTGAAATTCTGTGTTCAATAATTATGCGGTAACAATGAAACTAGATTATTTTAAAGATTGAAGTGTCATTGTACAGTCAACACATCTAAGCACTGGAATGTCAAAAGTTGTTCCACCACTCAATTCATGCATCATTTCAGAATGCCCTGAAACAAATTATATTCTGGCAGAACTTGTAAATATTTCTTCTTGTAAAAATTTATCTTAAAATAATTTAGTGTAACGATTTTAAAATTTTGATACAATTTCATTTCAGAAGAAGATTCATACGACTTAGTAACGTGCTACTGTACCAAGCCATTTGCTGGAAGGCCCATGATTGAATGCAGCAAGTGTCTCACGTGGATCCATCTGTCATGTGCCAAGATTAAGAAAACAAACATCCCAGAAGTGTTCATTTGTGTGAAATGTAAAAGCAGGAAACTGAGCAGTGTCACAAGTTCATCCATTAGACACAAAAAAAGAGTGAGCGTGTGATGAGTTTCAGGAAACACAAACATCAAGGATGTTGATTTAATTGTATGAGGAGAATATTAGGTATTTCATTGACTGCCTTAAAATTTGGGCTCAGTTTTCTTGATGGAATTTGTCTTGTTTTATTTTTCTGACATCCAGGTTTGTGTTTAGAAATGCAGAGGATATGTAAAAGTGTTCATAAAGATTACTTTCTTCTGGGATGTGATGGCATGTTCTTTGATAGATAGGTGCAAGTGTTCTGGGGGAACGTGCTGCCTCCATCTTCAAGGTAGCAGAGTTACCTGAGCATGGAAGATACTCTTTCTAAAGCAGGGAAAGCCGCCAGGACTAGAGCTGTGATTGATCTAGTAGGAGTCGATGGCACTGTGAAGTGATAAAAAGTAACGACTGCGCTCCGATGGTGTTATGTCACCGCTGGCGGGGGGAGGGGTGTCCTGCATAGCACATGGGTAAGATGGGTAAGAAGAATAAAATAAACAGATGGGGTGCAGTAAATAAGATTACTAATATAGAACAAAAATTCTCTCTTACCCACCTTCATCCTTCATCTTACATTTCACCCCTTCCCTTCCTTCATCTGTCTGTTATTGTCACTTCTTTTTACCATCTCCTGTTGGTTCACCATATTCCTTGTTCCAGTCCTCGTGTCCTATATCAGAACCACTTTTCTCCATGACCATTTTACCTCCCTACGCTGATGATGGAGGCAGCGCATTCCTCTGAAACATTGGTGCTTATGTGTCGCACTACAGGATCACATCCCAGAAAACAGTACCTTCATTGCCACTGGTGTGAGACCTCACAATGGTATTGAAGTTGGTCTGTTTTTGGTGTGATGGCACTATGTGGCTACATTGCTGATATTCTGGAAATCTTTACATTTTCCTTTGAAGTAAAATGATTTCCCAGTGAAATTTGCTGTTATTTATAGTACAATTTCATTGTTCAGCATTGAGTGATATTGAAGAGAAAGTAGAGAAACAAAGAACTTTTGTTCCACTTTGTACTGGCTGTTTCTCAGCACCAAAATAGTGGACTGTACTGTCACTATTTTTGCTTAATTTTGAAAAGGGAGACACTAAGGATTTCTAAAATTTAGGCAATACAGCAATACATCTAAATGACTCCATCACCCAAAAATGGCGTCTAACTGACATGAAAGCCCAAAATCACACGTAAAAGTGTAGCATATAAGCTTGGATTAGAAGAATATGTTTTTTTTACAAAGTGGGAGCAGTGTTACAATGATGTTGCCATATACAAACATAATTAAATTTCTATTTATATGTTTGAGATAGGATGAGTCAAGACTTACAATTATTTGTGCTGCATATTGTCTGGAAGATTGTGTTTCTTGTTACCTTCCAGTAATTTGGTTCAAACCATTGTTGCTGTGTTTCATAGAAGTTTTACTTTGAGAAAACAACAATGTTATTTTTCTCAGTAAATCTTTTTGTGTTCTATGCTGTACTAGAGATTCTTGTAATACTTTGCCTACATGGGCATTGGCCAAAACTTCTCGAATTTCACTGTGGGTAATATTTAACCACAGTTTATAGTTGCTTCATGCAGATCAGTTTTTTATTATATATCATGTCCATGTTTTTATGATTCTCATTCTTTGTATTCTTTAAAAACAGTTCCCACACCATCATAATTCTGCTGTTTCCCTGATGATGATCATATCTATGTGGGATAAGTTGAAAGAAATTTTTCATCTGTGGCCACTGCTTTTACTTGTTGACTGCAACTTAGTGAACAATACTGATTCAGAACTAAATGTGAAATACTGAAAATAGAACTGTGCACAAAGGATGAACTTAGCAAAGAAAAAAATGTATTACACACACAGATTATGATTTGTAGTGTGTACATTACGTGAAATTTTAATGGACTGATTATTGTTGTCATGTACTGTGTACTCATTTTTATATTATCAGTACTGTTCCTCTACTATATGCAGTTTTACAAAAATCAGTTGTGAAGAGTATCTCTTTAAAGAAGCTTTGGCCAAAGGTGAAGTCATATATGTGTGTACTGACACCAGTGAAAATTGTCTGAAATAAAAATTAAATTAAAAGTTTATATGAAAATTGAGGATTAATTATATTACATTTTGAATGGGGAAACAGTGGTTTTTTACTGTGGTGATTATCATGATATGAAGTGGTGATAACTGGGAAGTGTTGTGATATTGACTCATATGTTTACTTTTTCATGATAGTTTCTGTACAGCTTATCTATATATGTACATAATGTTATCTACATTTATTGTAAATAAGGACAGAGTTGTAATCAGAAATATTTCTTGTTAATGATCAAATCCTTGTTGTAGTGCGAACTCATCATTATAAAATGAAATTATATGCAGTGAAATTGAAGTTTTCAGTGGATAAAAGATTTTTTCTCTTTTCTTTTTTTAATTAAAAATGCCTTTAAGAAAATTGTTACTGCTGTCTGAAAACAGTTAGGTTGTTCCTTTTTATTATAGTTTATGACATATAGTTTTGTAATGATGGGATTTGGCTACAAGTCAACTACGATGGTCTAGTGTGAGCAGTTTTATTATTTTATATATTGCAGAAACAATACTCAGAAGTGATTGGTGTGGACCAGAATTTTCTGATGTAACACTGACAGCATTTCATGTTGTAACTTCAGAGGTCTTTGTGTATTCATAATAATACACTTCTTTTATTGAAGGAGATGGCAGAATATCAGAATATGGCATAGGAAATGCAGACAGCAGACATTTTTAGGTATTTCGGAATAAGCGGCTAGCAACTAGGAATTTGTGAAACAGAACGATTTTTGGCAGGAAGGAAATGATAACCCTCAGTTTTGCCTTTCCCATATAAGCAGTTGATCTCAGTAAGAATAATCTATACACGGGTCTCGGGTGGTGCAAGAATGTTTTTTTGGAGGGGGGGGGCAGAAAATTTGCTTGCAAACTTATATTTAAGCTAAGTAAGAATATTTTTACTAATCACCCTAGAATATTCAGAATAGAACAATAATATTCTTTTAATTACTTTTAATTTGTGATATTAACGTTTGGTATATTTCTTTCCCTTTTTTCAATTTTTCTTTTTGCAAAAATCTGGGGAGGAAGAATCAGATGCCTTGCTTGCCTCTCCCCACCAGCATTCATGAGTGCATATGGCTTGTTTGTAACTTATCAGCCAGAGAGGAAGATTGAAGATATTTAAAGGTACACAGGATCATTTCATCTGAATACTGCAGTTGCTGTATTACTGTATCACTTTAACGTAAGTAGCTGTAACTGCTGTAGAACAAAATCATAAGTTGGAATGAGTCACTGGATGATCCATGTATAAATACTTCTTCTCTTTCTTTCCTATCCTTTTGTGTACATTGCATGATAATTTTTTAATGCCATCATTTGTACTTCGTTTCTGTTCTTCGGTCACAAGGATTATTATGCTCTTTTTGTTTTTACCAGTTTTGAGAGAGGGAGTTTCATCACATCTTAGTTTTGGTGGTGTTTGCCTCATAGATATTTACACCAGCTGGCACTGTCATATGGATTGTTATTTTTGCCCCTTAAACATGTTCAGTTTTCAGTGAAAGTTTTATTCAAGAGCATATTAAACATTATTCAAAACTTAACACTAAATATCTGCAGGAACAGAGTCTGGCATCTGCTGTTTTCATTAATACTGAACTTCACTGCAGTGTGTGCAGAATATTTCTATTCCAGATTAGTATTTCCTGAGCTGCGTTTATTACAGCTTACAGGTTTGTCATAATAGCTACTTTATTATTAATGAAGAGGTAAGAATATTTGCATTGTGAAATATAACATTAAACTTATTCTCTTGCAGGAATTATTGTTGGATAATTTCAAGCAGGAAATTTCTTAGACTCTCTCATTATTAGAAACAAGTTAATCATTGCATAAGATGACAGGCAAATCATCTGTGTATGGTGGTCATCTCAGAATAAGAATGGGAAAAAAAATTGCTGAAAACACGCATATGGACATTACTTACAGTCAGATTTCCAAAAAGAAATGTGGATTTTAAAAATTGTGCATGTAATATAAATTGTTCCTCGTGCACATACAGTTTTTGCAAAACATTTTTGACGTTTACTATATAAATTTACCTTTTTATTGATACATTTTAGTTTGCTGATTCCAAATAAAATGTAGCTGAAATGTGAAACCAGGTCACAAGTTGAAATGTGTGACTGACAAACATGATGTGTGAGTGTGAATCAAACTTCACTTAATGGTGTTATATAAGGAATGTCAAATAATGGCCTTTCATGAAATGAGGGTTCTTGTCAGAGACAGAGGGAGCTTCTCTAGTATGGTTTTCATGGGACCAAAAATAAAAATTACTTTAATGTTAAATGTGCTAAAAAATTAGGACATATTAGTAGATATATGTGGTTAGGCATAGTATGTACATATATAAAGCAGATGCATGTGGATGTAGTAGCTCTGCTACAAGGTAGTGATTCAGATACAGTGAAATGTTATTACAGGGAACACTGACACAACAAAAATTCCAGTTGTACAAAGTAGTCATTATTCTGCATTATGAACAAGTAGTGAATACTTAATTTTATGGGAAAGGCAGTACTATGAAAACCCTAATATAACAAAATCTAATTGACATGGCAAAACTAATATGGTTCTCAAATGAAAGTTTATAACTCATTGGCACAATGGAATCATATCATAGAAGATATATATCTTTCCTCCAACTGTTGCTAGGCTCATATATTGCACAGAACTGCAGGAAAACAGCAACAGTTATTCTTCAGTATAACAAAGAACACAAAATCATTTAACATTACTCAATATAAATTATTTTATTTGGTCAGTCATTTTCCACTTCATACTCAAACTAGAAGTCTGCTCTGACCATACACCATCTCAATCTTACCCTTCCAAAATCACTATAAATAAGTGATCATCCTTAAACAGCAGTTTACTACAGTTTTCAATGCATGAGGCAGAAGGAGATGTGATAGTCTGTGCACAGCTCCAGGTGCAATCAAATAAGCTGCTGCCTTAGCTTCAAAAACACAGCTACTGACAAAAGTTACACACATTGAACTTTCAGTTACATGGTATCAAAGCATCTGGAATTTTCATGCAACTGACAGAAATTCCAAGGAAAATTTACCGTTTTTATAAAATTATTTCAAGAACAATTTGCTTTACACATATGTTCACCCATCACCTCTTAGTTCTTCCAGCCACCATTAGTAGCACTGCCTGTCATCATTTCTCCTGTGGATGCCATTACAGTTGTATTTATCCACAGTTACAGTAGAGGCTAGCTGAATTTGTGACCACATTACAGTTTATCCAATCCAGTGTAAATTTATTGGATTTTTAATTTGAATCGCACCTTTCCATTTCTATTCTATTTGTTATGAGGTATTCAAGACAGGATGGTCATTTTACTTGTCCATAATTTTTCCTAATATACTGGTGCAACAAATTTGCAAATCATAATGCACTGGTTAGCAATCCTGCCACATACTTGGTAGGTTCTACGTTTGAATGCTTGCCTGGATACTGGCTGTCTCAGTACAGTAGTTACTTGTGGTATACTCAGTCCTTCCTAGCTTATGCTGGTATAGTACCTTAAAATAGGCTGCTTCCACATTCTTCACAGTCATCCAGTAATTTAGCCCTTCATGTCCCATATAGTTTACAGAGTTCTCAATGAAGGACTTACATACAAAATCCTTTGCAGAACATGATTAGAAAAGAACCGTCAACCAGGTTTTTCATTACATGCATGAAACCAAAATTCTTTTCTGTCTGGAATAATGATTGCATGTTTAAAATATTTTATATTATCATCCATTGTTATTCTTTTCAAGTATTGAATTATATGTTTAGATGCCACTTTTCTTTGCTGGGGATTGAGTGGATTAATTGTTCAAAATAAAAGTGGAAAGAAATAAGAGTAAACTGAGAAATTACAAAAATAAAACATTGGGAGATTTTCCCCTGTAATGATGCTTGAGCATATTGCACTTGAGGGCACATGTAGATGTGTGCAGAAATGTTCTTACATAGGTTTTATCGATGAACGCACATACATGAAGGATTGGGATGTCTCAGTGCTTACAAATAAAGTAGTACCACAAGACTTGAAGCACGTTATGACTACGTCTAATGTAGCCTGAGTGCCTTTTATTATGTCACATTTTTACTGAAATTAATGTGTTTTGATATGTCCTAGAACATTTTATAGAGACATTTCACTGTATTTTAATTTAAGCTTTGTAGCATTATTTGGTCCGGCATGGAAACAGTGTGTGGTTAATAACAGTTTGTGGGTTACTCTCTCAAAGTGGATTTGCATTGAAATAGCCTGCACAGACATCTCTTATTCTTCAGGTTGTATTGAAATCTCATGTCGTAAACTGCAGTTGATGTACAAGAAAATAAGTCGGCCCTTTTTGCACAGTCAATTTTCTGAATGGGGAGTTCTGTATTAACTTTCATGGATCATCAGTTTTTAAACACAATCCTTCATCTCCACACCATATACCCTCATATACTGAAGTACCCATTATAAGTCAGTGCACTACAGATTAATTACATTGCAGTCATAGAGTAAGTTTCATGGACATGATTCTGGAATGCATTCTAGCAAATTGTGCTGGAAAAAGTGACCTGCATTCTGTGTTAATGTTACAAAAGAAAGAGGTTGTGCCATTATCCAGCTTTAATGAAGTTCTGAATCTTAAGATGTTCACATTTTTATATGTCAATATGTTGGGTGCAATACTGTGTGTTAGTGTAATTGGAGCTCAGTTTGATTGCAGATTTTGTTTCCTAAGTACTGGCATAATGTAATTTATGTAAATGGAACCAGAGAAGTAAAAGTATTGGTGGTATAAAATGAAAATTTTGATTGTAAGTTCATTAATGGATTGTATAATGTAAGAGAACTTGAGTAGGAGACTACAGTGTTGGTGGTGTTTAATTCGTCTCCATAGCTTGTTTGAAGACACCCCCCCCCCAATAACGTTTTTTGTTCAGTCACTAATTCAGATCTATTGGCCTATTGTACGAGCCCCAGATGATAGATGATGGTGATTGTGGAGCAGTTGGTGGAATGAAGATTGGCAGGGGAAACCAAAGTACTCAGAGATATCCTGTCCCAGTGCCACTTTTTCCACTACAAATCCCACATGACCTGACCCAGGCTCAAACCTGGGCTGCCACAGTGGGAAGCCAGTGACTCACCGCTTCGTCTATGGTACAGTCTGGGTCAAAGACTAAGTGAAGGAAGAAACCAGCAT